TTTAAAAAAGAAATTCAATTGCAATAATAAAATACTACTACATGCTTTAATAATATTGTTTTTCTAAATAAAATTTCGTATAAGTCTAAAATGCTAAAAAATGAAATGATACTCTAAAAATGAACAGTAGGTGTTGGCAAGTGTTAATGAGCGAGTCATTCATTCAACCAATTCGTTCAAACAGCTGATTCGTTCAAGAAACAAGATTTTTGCACTTTATGAACGGGTTTTATTGAATTGTTCCCTTGACTGATTTCTTTAAAATGTGGATTCATTCATTTGTTGCTCTGAGACATGCAACGGTTCTGCTGTAGCTTTCTTTGGAACTATTTTCGTTCACGAAATATATCAAAAACAGACAATGTTGTGCGTCTAAAATGCAATTCACTTAATATTAACTTCTTGTGTGTTGAAATATAAAATCAATATCACATCTGCAATCGTGCTGATATTTAAAAAAACAGCACTCCTGCTTGTCTAATATTGTTTAACTACATAATAATAGAACTCATAAAAGGACACTTTTGGTTGATATTTTGAATTTTGAGGGGCATTTTTATTAATTTTGTCCTCCATTCATTTCTGACCCTGACATCCATTCTTTATGTAGGAGGAGACACATTTTTGTAGTCTATACAGCACTGTTATACAACAGCACAGTACAATACAAGGCAAGCATTACATTGTTCACCTTTGCACACAGCTGAAAGAGCTCACAAAGTGAGAAGAGCTTTCATATAAAAACAAAAGAGATGCAGGCACTCCTATTTCTATAAATATTGACTTCCTTTCAATGCGGGACTCACCTTTGCTCTGTAAATATAGCCAAGAACCACCACAACCACCTCAGTCACAAACACCAGCATAAGAATGATGACAAACTGCAAAAGAGAGATGCAAGGAAATGTGGTTTTAGCAGGGCAAGATATATGAACAATGATAAACTATCCCTTTCAACTTGTTTATTATCAATGCTGAAAACAGCTGTGCTCCTTAACATTCTTGTGGAAACATCATACATTTTTTTCCCATTTGAAATCTTTTGTAACATTTTAAATGTCTTTACTGTCACTTTTGATTAATTTAATGCATCCTTGCTGGATAAAAGTATTCATTTAAGGAAAACACTAATAGCAAGTGCTGGAAATTGAACAGTTCACTAACCGTGGCAAGACCGCAGCGGCTCTCTCGAATAGTGGCGAAGCATCCAATGAGTCCAATAATGAACAACAGCGCTCCGACTGCGATAATGACAACGGCTGGGATCAGGGTGTACACATCCTCAAAGAAATGGTCATAGTCATCATACGTGATGAACACATAGGCTCCAACATAGCAGAGAATGCCAGCAGCGGCCTGTAAGGAGATAACAGAGGGTTAGTTATATGAAAGCAGATATGATGTGATTTCATGCCAAGAGTTATGTTAGTCTCATTATGAGTTAGATGTGACCGGTTACTGGATTGATTTAATGCAGTCTTCGTCACAGAACGACAATCAAATTAGTCATTTAGGATAAAGGCAACTAAGTATAAGTATTTGGAACCAAACACAACTTCATGTCATATCCGTCAAGAATGACTAAGGATATGGAATGCTGACCAACGAGAAAACCATCAGCCAAAATTAAATGTCAACACACAGAAATGTGGATAATTATCATCTTATAAGGAAACAAGTCAGGAATAAAAAGTGTTCTGGGTCCTCCATGGACCAGCAGGCATTTTGGGAAAAACTAGTTTTAAAAGGTTTTAGTCTTCCCCACTTACAACTGCACCATAAACCCCCTATGAATCGGTTTAGCACAGCTCTCAGGCTCTGACGTGATGAACACAGATTTAATGAAGCAGCCTGATCCCTAAAAAAAAAAGAACAGGATAGTGTCATACTACCTCTATCTGTCAAGTGGAGACTTTAAACTTCATCCAGTCCCAGATTAAAGAGATTAATCAAACAAACGCAGACAAGAAAATCCTGCTGATAGGTGGAGTAGTGTTTCTACAGATCCAACAGCTCAGGTTAGGTCTTAGATGTGAAACTTTGCCACCAAAGCCCCAGTTCAGTTGAACCCAATGTGCGAACCCCATTTTGTTTTTAACATTGGCTGTGGAAGTGTTGCATATTTAAATTTAAATGTTTGAAAACAAGGGATAAATATATTTTTTTTAAATAACAGTATATTGCTAATATATATATATATATATATATATATATATATATATACACACAGTTTAGTGGCCATTCTGGCCAATACTACTGATTTTAAATTTTATTTAAATCCTACTCAAACAGACTTTTTTTCCCCTTTTGTAGATCCTCAAAGTGAATTTTTTATTATGTATTAAATATTTTATTTTATATTGTACAATATATCATTGTGAATTATGTCTAAATTTACCTAAATACCTTAACTAAGAATTGCCTTTATAGACTTTTATAGATATTTATTTTTAACATTAAAGGGTTTTAATCTTTATAACATCTATAACATCAAAATAATTATATTTAATTGATTTTAGCTAGGATTTTATGAAATCAAATTATAATTACATATGATCCGCTTAATAAAATGAAAATACTTTTTTATTATTCTTATTTGCCTGAATATTATAGTCTTTTTATCAAACCTTTATCATTATTATTATTATTATTACAACTACTATTATAAACTTAAATGTACTGTATTAAAACAATATTACAGGGCTATTAAAAGGAAATCATTTGTAGAAAATCTAAAACATTTGTACAAATGTTTCAAATCTGATCCTATTGCAAAGTCATTGTGAACTGTTTTTTTAAAAAGGCCTTCTTTGATGTTTTGTGTGATGATGATGGAATCCTTTGAGGAAACTGCTATTAGCCTTTATTAGCCTTATCCTTCAAGACTCCTTCCAAATGATTACAGAGTTTCCAAAAGGAATTGCCTAAGGAGGAATAGGTTTAACATGTCAAACAATACAACTAAACCTGCTCTGGGGCTAAAAGGAAAACAATGAGGGTGACTTGCCAATTCACGCACGCATATTCAAGGCTAAAAGACATATATATATAAATAATAATATTTATAAGATATAATAAGATATAAATAACACTAATCTTATACTGTCAATGTTTATTGGGCATTACAGTGATCAATGTAGACTTATTAAGACTGCAGCAAATATGTAAACAAGCACTGCAATACACAGCAACGAGCAGTTTTTGAAATAATGCAATATAAACACAACAGGCATATCAAATATAGCAAAATATGCAAGCATTTAGCAGGTTTTATAAACGTATTAGTGATTTAAAGGAGTGTGTGTAATAATGCAGCTGCTCGACACCTGACTGTGTCCACCACTGACGCACTCCTAAATTCTGCCCCAAATGCCTCTAACTTACCCAAAATATCAGGTTCAGGAACACCAAAACGGTTTTAGACGACGTAATTCCACACTGACCCATCATTACAAGATGGAAAAAAGCCGTTTAAGTTGCAAATACTACAAACTGGCTGCGGATTATAAAATGGCTATCTGTTTCCTGGCTGCCATACCACTGCTGTGTTTGAATCTGATCCGGGAACAGCGCCACACAGCGGTCAGCTGACGAACTCTCATTGGCGCTGTCACAAAGCAGCGAAAAACCTAGATTGTGACTGATAATTCGATTTTGATGTTTATGTAGGAAATAACGGAGACACAGAAATGTGATGACCTGATATTTTTAATATACTTTTATTAGTAGCGCTGGCTTTAGCAAAGCATTAAGCATTACACGTTTTGCACGCACCACTCACATTTTCTTCATAAAATACTAACTATACTTTATTTTGTATTTTTAGTAACTGCAAAGAACGACATCTTTTCCTGCTATTCAAAACATCGACTTATTAAATATAGAAAGTAAAGGGTTACATGCAAGATAGTTACACAATGGGATTTGTGGAAGTAATCTCTTTACTGACACCTGCTGTTACATCATTGAATTGCATAATCACAATCAATCAGATCAATGGTAAACCCAACACATGGCTGAAGCTCATTAAAGACTGCAGGCAGGTTTTCAAGGTTAACTATTCCATGAAATAAACAACAAATGTTAAAATATTAAAATTTAGTCTTGAAAAACAACAGAGAGAATACTAACAACACAGAGATTCAAATCAGGATCCACTGCGATCAATTTTGAGTTCACACGCATGCAAATCTGCTTTCCTTAAAAAAGAAAAAGAAAAAATACTTCCTCTTAATAAAATATAAATAAAAAAATAAAATAAAAAAATATGTATATATATATATATATATATATTGTGCCAAACCCAAACAAATAAATCCACAATCACTAAAAAAAAAAAAATTTAAATAAACAATAAAAGAATACTGTAGGATTTCCTTTGAAACAATTTTCAGTAAGAAATTGCTAGTAAATTTCACAAATAATTACAAAGAAAAGGCAAGTAACATTGAATTAAACACGAAATGTATAAGCAAAAAGACTGAAATTATATTTTCTTGTAAAACATGCTCCAATAAACTTAGAAAATGTCCTTACAGTGATAAATCATAAAAGGTCACAATATAAACAAGCTTTATAAAATATATGGATAATAGACTAAATTGATGTCAATTGTTTTGTTTTTTCTTGTGCATTTTAAATCTGTATAAATGTATCATATGTAAAACTAGTTTTTAAATGCTAATACAGTATAATAAAGCTGATTAAAGTTGATAAAGTTGATAATCAACATGCTTTCTAAATGAATAAATAGACATAATGTTACCAGAAGATTTATCTCTGTAAAAGGTTCTCAACTCAAATACAATAGATGCAAGATTTGAGTTCTGTCATAATGTTAAAATGCTTGTTTAAAAAAAACAGATTTTTACTCGTTTTTAATAATTTACTAATTATACCTGTTTATGATATGCAAATTAGCCTGTACTATAATCTCTATGCATCGTTTTCTTGTGAAAACTGAAGTTATAAATTCTGCACTGTTTAAGCTCTGCCTGAAGCAACCAAACATGCAAATGTAATATTTACACACAGGCATGCTCATCACTGAGTTTTAACATAACTAAAATCAGCATGAGTGCCGAACAGTTTATCCCAGTGACTAAAATGGGGTGCAAAGTTAGTATTAGGTTTCTGATGGTGCACATCATGCTTGCTCGGACCTCCATAAACACCAAATGGGATCAGACGAGACATGGACCAAGGGAAATCATATCCGCAGTGGTCTTCCACCGATACATAGACGTGGACCACCATGAATATCCAGGTGGTGAGCAGATGACACCTCAGCAGAATGGGGTTGAGCGTGGTCCAGAAGCCCACCGTCACCAACTCCCATCCACCAAGGCACTGTGTGGCCAGAGCAAATGGGGCGGAGTAATTATGGTGGATAGCATGGAAAGTCACATACAGCCAGCGGATCTTATGATGCAAAAAGTGCCAGATAAAATACTGAAAGTCAAAAAGAAGAAGGTTTCCAGTCACCCCACCTGCAAGTTCAAGCAATGTAGGTGCTTGTTCAGGAAGGGGGACAGGAGGTCTCCACATCCACTGCGCTACTGCAGCAGGAAACACCAGAAGTACGTGATTATAAAGAGTAACTCCACTGCAGTGAAGGAGCATTGCAGTTGTGGGCATCTTGCCGGGCTGGATCTTGTACCGGTTAATAGCTGGCCACTTCTTTCCATTGATGTCGCAGACTAGGTAGGGTAGGCAAAGAACAAAATACGACGCTACGGTCAGAATCACAGGGAAGAGAGGAGACCGAAGAGTTTCAGAGTGGTTGAGTCGCACATAGTCCCACATAGGCTGCAAAGCTGAGTCTTTTGACTGGAAGGTCTCCCAAATTGTCTCAAACACCTGAACTAGTGTCATTTTCAGTAATTGATCGACTATATTTATTTTAAAGCAAACAAATACAACTTAAAATAGTTTAGCTTTCTAAATCATCCTCTGTCCTGGATGTTTCATGTGGCTCAGGTGTTAGATACCTGGTATCTAATGACTTTGTACTGAAATATTTATACCTTTATTTAGGTGTCTGAGGGGTGTATGTAGACATTACTTATACAGTGTAATACATATATTTATTTACATTCTAGGAATAAAAGGTGTGTTTAAGACAGTTTGGATGTGAATTTATTGCTTGTCCGAACATGCGCTGTTGTCTTTCCCCTCCGTGACGCAAGAGGGCGTCGAAGACGTCTAAGTCAAACGATGGAAAAAGAATCAGCAAATAGAATGGTGATTAGCATAGCTTATAGTGATTAGCATAGCTGTATTGAATGGGCGTGGCTTTGGCCCATATGTTGTCTCTAATTGGTCGTGGTTAGTCCAAATATGCAATTCTTTACTGTGTATTTTGAAATCAATGAATATTAAAATGTCTCACTGATATTACTCCGAAGTAAATTATTTAATTATGAGGCCAGGCAGGTGTAGCAATCGTGCCGTCTCTACCCTCAGAGGAGGCGATGATGCTATTACAAGAAAAAGAGCCGCTTTCTTAATCAGAGAGCTGCAGGCGCAACGAAAGAGAGAGAATAGTACAGTTCACAAAGAAAAAGAAAGAAATGTGGACGGTCTCGCATCAGAGCCACACAGCAGCATTCGAGTGACAGCAGCCAGTCTGGTACAGAGGAGCATCCGCCCACATTCAGCCACAAAACTGCTCCTGTAAAGCAAAAGAGAGCCAGGCGTTCCTGTCGCTGCTTCCTGTATCGGTTTTGTGCAGTGTAGGACCGCTCTTGGCATCCACAGGACCAGCCTCATAGCCCGAGAGAGAAACGCACCTTTTCCAGAACGATACCGAAGTACAGCGCTAATTGTGTCACGTGGTGCATGTTACTTTCCTCTGCGCTGGTCAGGTTGGACCAATTACAGTGCATCATGATTACATCGTAAAGCTTTTTAAAAAATAATTTAGTACGGGTAGCTTGAGCAGATTTTCATTTCTCTTTTTGGCATGTCAGATACCAGTTAATAGATTAAAACGATTACACTTTTTGGTGTAGAAATATCTCCAGTAATGCAAGAATCGTTTTAAGATTTGAACGCGGATGAATTAAGAATCAGACTTTGTGAGCCAGCAAAGCGCCTCCTGGAGGAAGTAAGCGTCTATCATAACATATCTAACGAATGCCTCTCAATCTTAGAATATCGCTTGTTTATGCTAAACGTAAACGTACTGAGACAGAGCGACAGCAATAAGTACTGAAGAGTATACAGTGACTACAAGGTGTGTGCTATCCAATCTAATGGAGCCAGAAAGTGCGGATGAGGTGCAGGTTAGTGGCGAACGTCTGTTAGGTGACATCCACCACAAATATCCACCAGCAATTTTGATCAGAGTTTTAATTCAGAACAACATTGTCAGGTCCAGTCCACCTAAACGCCAACATAAGAAAACCAAACCAACATGGTGACGTATTTTAAACAGTCGAACTTAAGGTTTAGCGGGACTTCCTGTGCGTGTTAGAAATGCTCGATTCTTCAATGAATTGGGAGTCGAATCTTTTCAGTTTCAACAATCAGTTGGATATGGTTAATTTAAGATGATTTTTATTTGTAAAGCATAATTTAAAAACCAAGTTAAAAGCGTTAGTACATATCAGAATGAGCATGAGTGATGAGAGAAATTAACTTAGGCTTCTTGAAATTCTGAATCAACTGAACCAGTTGCTTCGTAAAATGATTCACTGTTTCGAAATCATTCTCAGTCATCTCGAAACATCACAGACTGGCGGCACCTGCTGTTCAAAACGGGGTAAATTCATAAAAGTGAAATCTTTTCAAATAATTAAGAATATATATATATACAGTGTTGGGGAAAGTTACTTTTAAAAGTAATGCATTACAATATTGCGTTACTCCATAAAAAAAGTAACAAATTACGTTACATCGTTACTTTTTTATGGGAAGTAATGTGTTACGTTACTTTTGCGTTACTTTTAAAATAGTTACGTTACTTTTGCGTTACTTTTAAAATATGGACAGGGCTTGCTTGTTTGTTTTTAAAATAAAAAAAGTTATATTTTTGGCAAATATAAAAGCCTTTTCACACCAAAAGTGAAATGAATAAGCCTCAGGCTGAAGGGAAAGTACATTTACGTCCGTACAGTAGAATGCAGAAGAAGAAATTTCAACACACTTCAATAAAAAAAACACACAGATGTGTCTAGAGTAATTTGTGCTTATTAGTACGGTTGAACTGGATCATCGAAGGTCAGAAGCAAAGACATTGGTTAATAGAATGGGATTAAATACATAAAGCATATTTGTGTTGTTTAACATTTAATTATTCAGGTTTGTGTCATATTCTGAGTTGCATTATTTTTATTCATTTTGAGGAATACTGAATCTGTGTTTTTTGTTTTGTGAGTGAGATGAATTAATGCATATTCATATTTATTTTAGAACTACAGTAACATCTTCTGATTTCTCTCAACATGGGGACAGGAGAGCTGTCAATCAATAAATTGGAAAAAAAA